TGAATGTTCAGAAGTCTTTTTAGTAATAAGAGCCTATTGATAGTGGAACCAACTCCTTAACAAGGTAGTAGATTTCATCCAATACAGGTAGCCCTCGATTTATGACCCCAATTAAGCCCAACATTTTTATTGCTAAGTGATATGACTGTTAACTGAATTTTGCTCCATTTTACGACCTTTCTTGCCACGGTTGTTAAATGAATCACAGCAGTTGTTATGGTTTACGATTGTAAAGTGAATCTGGTTTCCCCATTGACTTTGCTTGTCAGAAGCTCACTTAAAAGTTAATCACATGACCCCGGGACACTGCAGCCATCATAAATATCAGTCAGTTGCCAAGCATCTGAATCTTGATCACGTGACCTTGTGAAAAATGGTCATAGGTCACTTTTTTCAGTGCCGATGTAACTTTGAACAGTCACTGTTGTAAATCAAGGACGACCTGTATATGCCATCAGAGGTTAGACAGTCATGTGATAGGGATGTCTTACATGGAAACCTCTCTGTACTGAGCTTTGGGGGAGGGTGGGAATTTGGTGGTCTAAATATCTCCATTCAATTTGTGATTGTAAGAGTGCATAATTTCTGCTGATAGGATTTTGATTCAGTATTCCGGATTAAAGTGCATCCAGCATTCTACTCTTATTTTACCTTGCTGTTTCCATAACACACTTTCCAGGTTTCCTTATTATTCCGCCTCACCCATCTAATACTCATACTCCTCCCCGCCCTTTGTAGCTGTTTTCATATGCAGTGTGATTTGAATCACAATACCGTTGAGAATATTTTTAATTGGATGTTGCTTCTCTTTTTCCCAGCAGTGAGGAAAGGATGTACCATACAGCATGTATGTGGGTTGAGATATGAAGTGAGGTTTTTGCGAGATTAATTTGTCAGTTAACACTAAAGTGTCTTTGAGTTGGAAGAGGAGGTTAGGACTGTTTGGATAATGGCAGTAAGCTTTCAGGGTCTGTAAGGGGAAAAGCACTAGATTACTCTGGCATGGTGCTGGCTGGAAAATATCCAGTAGAAACCTGAATACTTTCCAGGAAAATTGGCTTCTGAATGTGCTGACTCCAACTAGAGGACATTATCAGCTAATTTGTCCATAGGATACATGTACATTGTTGTTGTTTTTTTAATTCGTTAACTTTTTAGATATGGGCAGAAGGCATCCTCCAAACTTCTGTTATCATTATTTCAGATTTCACGTTAGGAAATGACAGTGAAATCAATGCTAAAAACTTTTAAAGATTCTTTTCCTCTTTGTATGCTTTTCCATCAAATATACCAAATGTCAGCCCGGTTTATTATTTCTAGATTTTTGTACCTAGGGATGGAATGAATTGCATGCCATGCGCTGATACTTAGATATTTATGAATGCATTTAGACTCCCTTGTCAAATATGAAAGTTGCACGGAGGGAAAATTGGACATATTTCTTTTAAAATACTTCAAAATATTTATTATTTATTGAAAACATGGTGTAACTGCTCATCTTATATTGAATTTTGGGCGTCTCCCAATCAACAATAAAAAAACAACATAATTCAAATATCTACTAAAAACATAAGCATTAAAAAACTGGCACGAAAGTTAAGCTTCCAAAATCCTTGTTAAAGCCTCTCATCCAACTCGCCCTATCCTATCACTTGGAGGTAAAGCCAGATCTTAAGTGGTTTCTGGAAAGCTAGGAGGGTAGAGGACTGCCAAACTTTAAGGGAAGGGGTATTTCACAGAGCAGGGTCTGTCACAGAAAAGATACACTTCCTGGATCCCATAAGGTAGCAGTGTTTAAGGGAAGGGGCTAGGAACATGCCCTCCCTATCTGGTCCAGTAGGACAAATAGATGCCTTTAGGGAGAAGTGGCCCCTGGTCTTGTGCCACATAGGGCATTATAGGTAATAACTAGGTAATAACTTGAATTGTACCCAGAGGGAAACTGGGAACTAGTGCAACTCACACAACAGAGATGCCATATGGGTAAACCCATCACTTCATACACTGCCTCATTCTGGGCCAGTTGTAGCTCCCATGTAGTCTTCAAGGGTAGCCCCATGTAAACCGCAGTACTCCAAACTGGAATGGCCAGCCAATTTTTTTTAAAGATAAAATGTGCCACCCCAGACCATCCCAATGATGCCCTTGCAGTGATGTCCCGCTGCCTCGAAGCCGTGTGGATCTGGATGGGGAGAAATAGGCTCCGACTCAATCCTTCCAAGACCGAGTGGCTGTGGCTGCTGGCGTCCCGATATAGCCAGCTGATACCATCGTTGACTATTGGGGGCGAGTCATTGGCCCCCACAGAGAAGGCTCGCAACTTGGGTGTCCTCCTGGACACGCGGCTGTCTTTAGAAGAGCTTATGACGGCCATGGCCAGTGGAGCTTTCTATCAGGTTTGCCTGATTCGCCAGTTGCGCCCCTTTCTAGATTGGGACTCCTTACGCACAGTCACTCATGCCCTCGTCACTTTTTTTTTTTTTTAATTTGATTTATATGTCGCCCTTCTCCAGAGACTCAGGGCGGCTTATAATGTGCTAAGCAATAGCCTTCATCCTTTTGTATATTTATACAAAGTCAGCTTATTGCCCCCACAACTGGGTCCTCAATTTACCTATCTTAGAAAGGATGGAAGGCTGAGTCAACCTTGAGCCTGGCGAGATTCGAATCTGCAGTAATTGCAGGCAGCTGGTCTTAAAAACAGGGTGCTTTAGACCACTGTACTACCAAGGCTCTTCCCGACTGGACTACTTCCCGACTGGACTACTGTAATGCTCTCTACATGGGGCTACCCTTGAGGTGCACCCGGAGGCTCCAACTGGTCCAGAATGCAGCCGCGCGGGTGATTATGGGAGCGACATGGCGCTCACATGTAACACCTCTCCCATGCTTAATGTGCCCCTTGGTTTAAAGATATTACTTAAAACATTTGATTCCAGAAAATAAAGCCATAAATGATTGCCTTAATTATAAACTGTTTAATTATCTTGTAGAATACACTTATTCTACAAGAATAACAGAGGGATGGGGGAGGAACAATCAAAAGGTTGGTCATGATGGTGATTATGATCAATCAAAATGGAACAGTGATGAATTATGGGAAGAATAAGGTGAAATTCTTTAGCCAGTAAATGTGGAAAAATTGCCCTTGGACTGCAATTAGGTGAAGGCTTGGAAAAACCCAATATAATATTTATGCATTATTGACTAGAGCAGAGGAGAGTGGAATATATGGTTTTGCATTGATAGTAGGATGGGCTGATTTAATGGAGCAGAAATGCTTAAATTAAATACTTTAATTCGTATCTTTGAAATATTGGCCTGGTAATTCTGCTGGTGTTTTAAGATTTAATATTAATTTGAACAGATGCCCACTGTTGGCTAACTTTAGAAAATTTGGCTTGAATTTATTTTTTTGGCAAAAGCATACGTTTTCATTTAAACAAAAACTAAGCACTGAATAATCTTTCCCAAACTTTAGAATAATATTGGCTTGATAGATTGTAAACCCAATTATGAGGTGTTTTTTTTTAAAAAAAAAAAAAAAACTCCAGTTAAAAGAAGGGTTCAATTAAACGCCCTTCTTTCCAGTTATGAATTTGAAGGGCAGAAGAAAAACAAATACGTGGAGAAAATTGGAAGAGTTTTGAAGCAAAGGAGTAGGTGTATTTTTTTTTAATGTATAGCAAGACAGTTGTTGGCCCTCCCTCCTTTGAAAAGAGTCTTAAAACAGGAAGGAAGGAAGGAAGAAGAAACAGCAAAATGAGATTTCATTTGTTTAAATAGCATGGTTTGGGAAAGCGAAAGCCGATTTTTAAAGTCATCTTGCGAATTATTGTAGGTGCAAGTGTGAAGTGAAAGAGTTCCCTGTTCGGGGAGATTGAGTGTGACATAAACCCTCCCTCCCGCCCTCCACCCACCTTCCTTCCCTTCCTCCCACCCTCCTCTCCTTCAGCAGCGACATCAACAAACCATCTAGGCCACAATGGTTAGTACAGCAGAGAGCTTGAAGCAGCTTGGGCTGAGGTCAAGCACTCCAATTCTAACCTCTCAAGGGCTTTCTCTATGTGTTGCCAGTGTACTGGTAAAAATGACTTTAAACTCTTGTCAGCGCAGCTACTGGTGCATGCATCGCAGTCCCACTCAAATAAACCTGTCACAACACAGAGTCAGCAGCTAGAGAAGAGTACAAGGGCAGGCCTCTAGCTTTTCATTCGAGCATCACTAAACGTGCACAGAGTGCCCAATTATTTCAGCATTATTGAGCAAGCCTACAGGAGGACCCAAGCCTTGCTACATTAGATTTTCTTTAGTAATTTGCTCAAGTACCGCTGAGGACACTTAAAGGACTTTAAACGGTGGCTGCAACCAGTTTCCTTTTCTGGATTGTTAATTCAGGTTTCCTTTTTTTCAAATTAACTCTTGCTGCATGCTGGGTGGCTGCTTGGGGAGAACAGCTTTAATGCTTGCTTTCTCAATTTTCAGCTTTCTTTTCCTTCAATAAATAAATAAATAAATTAAAAGCAAAACTTAATGGCTGCCTTGATAGTCAACTTGTGCATTTTGATTAGACTTTCGGTGTCCTTACGAGACTGCTCCTGGAAGAATAAGACTGAAGGAGTTTCACTTCAAATGTCAAGGTGCTATTTTCCTTTTGAATATAGCCCACGAAAAATAATACTATAGAGCGAATAACGTTGCAACCTCTCCCCCTAATCTTGACTTGAGCCAGAGTTATTGTTTAAGGCAGGCGTTCAGAGGTAATGCATTGCATTAAGCTTTGGTTATAAGCATCGGTCACAGCCATTCTTTATTCTCATGTACACCATGTTTCTGCCCTTTTGTTTCTTCAAGGGTTGGAATAATTTGTAGCAAATCAGGATCATTGATTAGTTGACAGCCCTTGAAGACACATGAGTCCAGGACCTGCACATTGTTAGCTATGCTGAAAGTTTCTCTTCCTTGGAACAAATGCAATAACTCTGTTTAATTTTTCACAGCAGCAGCAACTCCAGGCCCAACATTTATCACATGGACATGGCCTTCCAGTGCCTCTCACTCCACATCCTTCCGGATTGCAGCCACCCACCATTCCACCCATTGGCAGCAGTGCGGGCCTCCTAGCCTTGTCAAGTGCCCTTGGGGGGCAGTCTCACCTACCAATCAAAGATGAAAAGAAGCATCATGATAGTGATCACCAAAGAGGTAAGACTTATTTTCTAGGTTTCAGTTTTCAGAGAAAGTTGCTTCGAATGTTAAAAGTCCTTGCCAAGTTCCTTGAGTTTTTTTTTTTTCACTTCCTACCATTGTCTTTACTTCTGCTGTAACCTTCTAGTGCAGTTCTGCTGTCCATCTGTGTTGGCAAATATGGGAGCTATAGCTCAAGCTAGCCAAAAGAATCCAGATTTGGAAAGGGCATTCTTTTACCCTGTTTCCCCGAAAATAAGATCCAACCAGAAAATAAGTCCTAGCATGATTTTTCAGGATGCTCATAATATAATCCCTACCCCCAAAATAATCCCCAGTTAAGATTGTCAGCCAAATGGGTGCATTTAGTGCCGTATTTTCCCCAAAATAAGACCTAACCAGAAAATACACCCTAATGTGTCCTTTGGAGCAAAAATAGAATAGAATAGAATAGAATTTTTTATTCGCCAAGTGTGATTGGACACACAAGGAACTTGTCTTGGTGCATATGCTCTCAGTGTACATAAAAGAAAAATTAATATAAGACCCAGTCTTATTTTCAGGGAAACACGGTAGTTCTCCATTTGCCTATTTTAGACTCTAGGTTTTGGGGCAGAGCCCTGCCTATTTAATGGAGAAAAGTTAAGAGTTCATTCTTGATTCTTCTAAAGCTTGGTTGGTCTATGAGTCGAACTGAAGAGAAAGTGGCATTCTTCTCTACAAACATCCAGCATGTTTTAATAATGGGAGGCAATCAATTCAATCACTTTTTGTTTGCAGTGTTTAGGACCATAAAAGAAAATGGAAAGAGTTAATAATTCTTTAAGATTCCATGATATTGAAAAGCCCTGATCTTATCCATTGAAGGGGGTTCTCTCTGACTTTGGATTCTTCTCTACAAATGTCCAGCTTATTTTAATAATGGGAGACAATCTGATCTCTGAGATCAGAGCCATGTTTCCAACCTCATACAGGGTTCTCCAAAGAATCATATGAGCCAAAGTGACTGTCCCATGTCCTGTTCAGCTTCATACAAAGTCTCTATAAGCTGCTATGGCATCTTTTGAAACCGACTTTATTTTGCAAGGACCAATCTGGGTCAGCCTTACTTGAGCAATTCTTATTCTTCTTCCATAGGAGAAAGTGGCCAATAACTGCTGGTTATTATGTTTATGTGTGCAATAGGGTTAGTTAATATACAATAATAATGGCTAGAAAAAACTGTGAATTGTCTAAACAAAGAAGAAGCCATTTTTAGTTCCATGACAATGGAATAACAGGGGAGGAAAAAGGTGCCAGGAAAATGTGATCATAAATAAACCAATGTATCTCAGTGTGTGTAATTAAATAACTGTGACATTTTGGTGTTTTATAATACATAGGTGACAATTTGGAAGGGTAGTGTTATTAAACATTAAAGATTGAGGAGGCCTATGTGCTAAGAAATAAGGATCAAATGCAGAAGTAAGCATGCAACTGGTTTACAATTCTCTCTTGAAAAGATGCTCAGCCCTATATAATTTTGTGCTACTGCTGTAGCATCTTATAAAGGCTCTTGATCAACCAGTTGTGGTTAATGGAATCAACTTTAAACATTGGTTGTGCATGCTTAATAATTAACTTTATAAAAAAGTTAATATCTTTGCCATTTATCTTTTCATGGAGACTAAGGTTGTGGTATGTTTTTGGAGATAGAAGAAATACACAGTCTTGTATCAAATATCTTATATTTCTGTCTCTTTCCTTCTCTCATTTGCTCATGTTGCTGCTGCTGTTCTGCTTGAAGACAGAGACTCCATAAAGGTAAGATTCTATTTCACAGATGGAAGGAGTGAGCTAAAAGAATTGCAGTGCATTTATAACAATTGAACTAAAGCATAGGAAAAGTTATTATGGTAACTAGATGGTGATATCCATATTGATTAGTCTTGGGTAGACAATTTTAAAGCACTATATACACGTGAAAATTCACTGCTGGACTCTGTGAGCTTGTTATGTACCATATCATCAGAAGGGTTTTCCATTGTCAGTTGGCATGGAGATGCTTCTATTTTTGTTCTGATATACAGAAATCCCTTCCACTGGGAAAGGGCTGTAGCACATCTACTGTGAAGAACCTCTATGAAGATGTAATTGTTATCAACTGAGAAGAACGTTGTCAAGACTTGTGCAAACAGGGAAGAAAAGTGGCCTCATTCTGCATCATATATATGTACATATACATATACATATACATATACATATACATATACATATACATATATATACATATACATATACATATACATATACATATACATATACATATACATGTATGTATATATCTCTCTCCTTGTTTGTTGGCTAATTCTTGAAAATACAATCTGCTGTTGTCAGAAATTTACTGGGGAATAAAGCAGAAGAGGAAGATCCTTCAGGGAGATGTTTTGTGTACCATGGCAGGAAAGATTCATATCAGAGTCTTCCTGCCTATCAATCTCCCAGGAGTTCTTATTTCTAGCGTATGTCTCCACAAGGGCTGAAATGGCAGAGAATAAATATATCATAGGCATGACTTTTATCTGTTAAATGGCTTAAGTCCCATACTATGAACCCTATAATGCATATTTCAGTGGGGTTAGCATTGGCATCTGGAAGATTATTTATATTTCAACAGGCCTGTACAAAACACTGCCTTTCAGAATTTTTAGTCAGAAAAGCATCCTAGATCTGGCACTAATCTATTGCTAAGCAGGGACATCTAAGCTTGTATACAATGTAAAGCAAAGTATTAAAGTCCTTTTAATCGTTCTGAAGTCTGTGGGTTTTTAAAACAATGTTTCTGCCAACTAGTTTCAATAGCGACTAATATGAAAATATAAATACTAAGACAATTTCATTAATCAAAGAACAAAAAAGGCTGCAACAAATAAAAATCTGCCCAAAGCACAGTAAAATTACTTAAGCCAGAAAATAAATTAAAAATCTTTATTTTCTAAACAAAACCAATGAACCCGCCAACTCCTGTGGCATAAGGACATCAGAAAAAGCTTTGGCAGAGCATAAAATAAATTAATTTCATGCCATCAACATTTTATGCCATCAACGTTTGAGAGCAGACTGCACATCCAGAATGGATTCTACATTTCATTTTGGTTATTTTGAAGGAGATCCATAGATGGGAAAAAGCCAATCTCGCCTCCATTGGTAACATTATATTATTGTTTTAATATTTATATTCTGCCTATTCTGGGCAAAGCTCAGGGCCTGGCTGAAATTTTTTTAAAAATAAGAACAATAAGGGCAAAGAGCAGAGAACTGAAAGTCACAGCAATACTTCAACTGTGGATGTAATGTCTCTTCTCTTGAGTTAATTATTTGGCTGTTAATGAAGTTCCAAGCATTTTTTTCTAAGACAGCTATTATTTAATTTGGACATAATCAAGATATGTATCACAGTGACTAGGCCAATGTTCCAAAGAAGACACATTGTTGGCAAACAAATCTTAGATAGTAAAGGTTTTTAGTTGCCTAAAAATAATTGATGGTTAGATTGAGCAAGGAAAAGGTATGGGGAAAAGCATCGGAGGTTGGGGGGAGCATGGAAGAAGAAAATTCTGGTTTCCATCATAAATACTGCAAACCTTCTTTAGTCATATTGTATCTCATATTCTCAGTCTATTTGTCAAGCACAAAGAATCTTACATTAAGTTGCAGTTTATTATCAAGCCTATATACAGGAATCTAGTCAAATAAAGTTCAATACCAACTTGATAAAGGTCAATGGAATTCAAGAGGGGTTGTATTTAGGCCATTTGTGGGATTGTAACATCTCTAGACTGATGGCTTATTTAACTCCGCCCCCCTCCGCTCTTCTCCTAAAATATTACATTAAAAAAAGCCAGTTCTGCACGTTAGAACAGATATTAATCAGGTACCTCTATTTATTGTATATACCTGATACAGGTAGTCCTCAACTTATGACCACAATGGAGCCCAACATTTCTGTTGTTAAGTGAGACATTTGTTAAGTGAGTTTTGGCCCATTTTACAACCTGTCTTGACACAGTTGTTAAGTGAATTATTGCATTTATTAAGTTAGCAACATGGCTTCCCCATTGACTTCACTGGTCAGAAGGTCACAAAAGCTGATTGCATGATCCCAGAACACTACAACCATATGAACAGTTGTCAAGCATCTGAATTTTGATCATGTGACCATGGAGATGCTGCAATGGTCATAAAGGGTGAAAAACTGTCATAAGTCATTTTTTTCAATGCTGTTGTAACTGAATGGTCACTAAAGGAACTGTTGTAAGTCAAAGACTACCTGTACATAGTATAAACCACTGATGTTGTACTTTGAGTTGATCATGGAATTATGAGTGTATTTTACAGATGAGGGAAATAGGTTTACATTAACCAGATGAAGGGTAGAGAAATGAGATACCTAAAAGCCATTCCATCGAGGCTTCATGGTTTCATTTTTTACCAGTTCTTGATCTCTTTTTTTTTAATATGAAGACAGAGGTCTGAAGCTTGATCCTCAAATCAATCCTTTGCTGGTTTTGTTGGCTATTTTGTTATGTTATAACAGAGTAGAATTGACCTTGTTCTTGTCAACTTCACAGTTAACCTCAGGGTTCCTAATAGCTACAAACTGATAGGAACTGTCAGTTTTCAATCCGCAACAATTTTCAGTATGTGTAGCTGTGGCAGATTAAAAAGAGGGAGGGAGAGGGAGAGGGAGAAGGAGAGGGAGGGAGGGAGAGAGATGTCCCTGTGACACAGCTACGTTCGGCTTTTCTTGTCACAGTTTACGACTTTTCTTGCCATAGTTCTGAATAGGCTGCAGCCCCTTAGTGGCCTGTGGCTCAGGGGTGGAGACCCCTGATGTAAAGAATAAATCTTATCAACTGTCCTCTTCGGTGGTGACATGTGCTGAATGCATCCAGCAAGACCTCACTTTCCTTTGAGGTCTGAAGGTAGGATTGAGGTAGCAAGTCTGAAGACTTTCATTGTTGTGAAGTTTCACTCTAGAACTCCTCCCCAGTATGTATGGCCAGGTTGTCTGCTTTTTGATCTTTAGAAAGGCGTTGGATTAATGAACTAATGTGCTATTACTGCTTTTGCTATGTTTTTGTTCATTTTTAATATTGTGGTGTGCCAAATTTATTTTACTATGTATTAGAAGATTAAAGTCTGCTATTTTTTCAGTTGCTTCGGATGGGGGTGTATAAATACTTAATGAATTGCCTAATGAATGCTGAATACACTTTTCAGTTTTCTTTGAATGTGCAACCTTCTAATTCCAATTAATATTATGCCTTCAATATAAACATTGACACCCCCTTCTTTCCCCAATAAGACATCTTGTGATTAATCAAGAAACTGCATCTTTCAGCCATTCTTAGTGTCTCTTCCATTTTTTTCTGGTTACCCAGAAATGCCAAACCAGTAGTTGTCAGGCAACTACCAGGCGGCTAATCATATGCAACTGAACAACTGCTTTTTATTGTATTTTTAAAGGGTAGTCCTCAACTTATAACCATAATTAAGCCCAAATTTTCTGTTGCTAAGCAAGACAGTTGTTAAGTAAATTTTGCTCCATTTTATGACCTTTCTTGCCCCAGTTGTTAAGTGAATCATTGCAGTTGTTAAGTTCATAGCTGTTGTGATCCCGACTCCTGAGCCTGTCCTAACAGAGGAAGAGGACTCAGGAGGTGATGGGGAGGAACTGACAAGGCCTCCCTCTCCAGGATCCTCCTTTCTGGCAATGCCTCAGGTTCCATCCAAAGGCCAGGAGGAACAGCCTGGGATGTGCCAGGAGGAAGGCATATTGGAGCACCAATTGATAGGGAGCGAGGATGATGAATCCTGGCTTGATCCCAGGCAGCGTCGGAGGGAGAAGCGTGCGCAGCAACGGAAGAGGTGTGGGAGGGCCAGAGATTGAGCTGAGTCACGGAGCCACGCCCCACCAGGAATAAAAGTGGGTGGGATTGATCTTCAGGCTTTGTGATGGACAAAGTTAAACCCTGAAAGTCACATTGTGATCTCTGAAATTCGGCTTGGATATATTTTGGAATGAACATTGACTAAACTCTTGTCTCGTGGATAATTTGTTGCTCCTGGAACAAACTGAAGAGAAGTCCTCTTCTGCTTTATGGGAGTGACAACGGTCTTGGCAGGCATTTGGCGGTTTGCTGCCAAAACCTTGGTCTGCCAAGAATTCTAATCTGTTTACCTAATAAAATATTGGCAGGCGTCCTTGGTATTACGTTTGCCTGTGTGAGGAAGGGGGACAGAACAATAGCATGGTTGTTAAGTGAATCTGGCTTCCCCATTGCTTGTCAGAAGGTCGCAGAAGGTGATCACATGACTCTGAGACACTGCAACCGTCATAAATACCTGCCAGTTACCAAGTGTCCATATTTTGATCATGTGACAACAAGGTTGCTGCAGTGGTCATTTTTTTTGAAAAAAAATGCACTTTTTTTCAGTACCATTATAACTGCGTGGTCACTAAATGAATGGTTGTAAGTCAAGAATTACTGCTATTGGATCACAAGTGACTGTAGCTATTTCCATGCGTTTTTCCATAGTAGGATGTGCAAGGCTCTTTGATTAAAATAGCAAACTTTATATAGTAAATTCTTTAAAAGCTAAATATTATGAACTACTATGCTTGGCGGGTTATTTGTTTCATTTTTTCCAGTGTAGGAACACTGAGAATTTATGGTTACATACACTTTTGAAATTAAACCTAAAAGAGGCATATTAATAAATTACTGAGTGAGTTGTGAGTGTGTATAAATTCTCTTGCT